TTACTGTTAGGGGAGAGAGCTTCAGAGCTGCTGCAGTGGGTGGGTCTCTCGTTTTTGTTAGTTTCTAACTGAAATTTAGAGATCCCCAGTCTCGCTCATGGACATGTGAGCCACCGCTGTTTAAGTTTTTAAGCACATAGATAGCAACTTTGCTCTCCTCTAATAGGTTCTCCAGCTGACAGTGATTGAAAGATGCAGATGCTGATATTTTTCTCCAGCTTTTCCAGTTACGCAGTTCTGGCGACTGTAAACACCTGGCTCTCTGTCCTTATTTGCTGGGTCATGGAGTAGACCAGCATAAAGACTGACTTGGGGGATGAACATCGGTGCTGAAATCCTTGGATTAGCTGTGTCAAGGAGTTTATTTTGTCACTTTGAACTTCCTCTGTTTTGGGTAGAGCTAATAGTTCTTTCCAGTTGATAGCTTTTGCTGAAAGTTTCTGTCTCTGGTTGTGAGGAATCTGCACTAGAAAACATATGAATGCAAGGCAAGTTGTACCACATTAGCGTGCTGAAGTCAATAATCTTGACTTTGCTCATGCCAAGTTGTACCAATGCAGGCTTTTTTTTCCTTTCAGTTCAGTTGTCATTTTGTACACCTTGCAAAAAATCGTGGGCTGGTGTGTGTTGAAACTGTGGTATGTTTCCTCAGAACTGTTGTTTGGCAGGGATGAACAAATAGTTGAACTAGAGTTGCATTAGGATAGACCACAAAGGGACAAGTCAGATGTTTTATTCTTTAGTTTGGTTCTTCATTCCAGTGAGTGTTTTTTTCTTTGAATAATATGTCTGATGACCTGCACTGAGGATTTCCATTCAAGTCTTTGTGAGAGCATCTGATAAATTCTGTTAGGAAGTCATCAGTCTTGCATTTAGACATCTTGTTTTGCTCACTGGGATTTGTAGTTCCTTCAGCAAACAGCAAAAGTGACATCTCCTTGACTGATGCAGTTTTCTTTAATCTGAGCTAAACAATAAAGTTATATTAATAAATTAATGTGGCACAACACATGTCCTCTCTCCATTTTATTGTTTTGTTTGATTTTGTTTTTTAATTTTCCTGGAGGAATTTTATTTTACTGCTTAAGTAGTATTTTCCTCCCTTTGAATTTGTTGTTAGTGCTTGCTTCTTTTAAGGAATGGTTGGCTTACTGATATCCAGCTGTCAGAGGAATAGGAGAGGAGAGGAAAAAGCTTCAGTCTGTTTACCTGCAGCTCTTTTCTTTATCTAGGGGTTAGGCTGTTGTACTTGGTGAACAAGGCTGGGGATGCTTCCCTTGGAACTCAACTTTTTGCTGCACTGCAGTGCTGTGCCTGCCAGAGTCAAATTGCTTGTCTGATACCTCTTTACAGAGTGAGCATAACTGCATGGAATGGATTATTCCTTCTGTTGCCTTTGTTGCCTTTGGCACGTTAAAGATGGTGATGCATAGGAAAAAAAAGATGTGGTTTCAGTTCTTCTGTTAACAACTTAATGTTGCTTGTTTGGGGTGATAACCTACAGTTCATTTTTCAGAGTTGAACCCTTGGAAGCAGAATGTGTGTGAATGAGCGATCAACAGCTGCTTAAGTGTGTGATTAATCTTGTTTGACAGACACAAGTTGTGCTGATTGCAGAGCAGCGAGGGTGCTTTCATGCTTTTTCAATTACTCATAAATTCTAGAGGGTATCTTAGGACAGCTCTCATGTGCTAGGCATGAGTGCTCAGGCAGAGTGCTGCTGGATTAAAGGCTAACGCTGAAAGTGTTCTGCAGAGCTGTTCAGTGGTGACTTCACTTCTGCACAGAACGTGTTTAAGATGACCAAACACTTTAAAAGAGTCTGAGAAGCATGAAAGAGGAAACCTTGTCTATTATGAAAATGGAAGCAGTGTCTTGAGTCAAATTCCCTGGTAACTTTTATGGGAGAACCAATAGGACAGATAGTTTTGTTTTGAAGAGCTGATACCTTTATTGTTTTGAGCATAAAATTTTAAGGAATTTTGGACATTCTGATCTCAAATGCCATTAACAGCATTCAAAAAAAGTCACAAACCCCAAATTTCCCTTTTCCTGACATACATATTTGCGTGCTTATGTATACGGTAGAATAACAGAAAAGTACATGATTTCATTATTTGCATGGGTAGCTTTTCCATCCTTTCCCACAGAAGAGAAATGTGAGTAATCTTGCAGTATGTGGCAGTTTGATGCCAGCTCGCTTTGCATTGTTTCACAAGGCAGTACACTTCACGTGTCCTGTAAAAAGTCGGTTACTTTCCTTATCACAGTTCAATTGGAGAAAGGGAATTGTCACGCGAACTGGAGAACATACATTGTGCTGCACTGGCTGATGGGCCAGTTTGTTTGCTTTCCAATTTGTTGCTAAAGACTGAGTCATTGTTACTGTTATAACAAATGCATATTAGATAACTTATCGCTGCAAAATTCTCTCTTGCAGTTAATGATAGCAGAAGTTTCAGGCTCCAAATTCAAAAACAAGTGAGTTTGTTGTTGTTTTCTTACAGTGTCAGTGACAGACTCAGAAGGTACAAAACACTTCTGACGTGAAGTGTGACTGATCTCGGTGTTATGCTGATATCAGCTGATATCAAACTTTCCAACTGCTGGTCCTCTCTTTCCTCAGGAAATTCAAGGTTGGAAAAAAAAAATAGGGTGTATGCTAGAAAGACTTGGGATCTGCTTTCTAAACTTCTAATTCTGGGGTCCTTCAAGTCACTGACAGATAGGTCATTTACATGCCTGGAGACATTTCCATATCTGAGTGTGACTCCTCGTGATTTCAGAGAGAATTGAAACTGCTGTGGCTATTTGACCTCCAGCTTTTCTTCATTCTGAATGAATTGGAGCAGCTGCTTCTCATGGGTGTAGAGGAATGACAGATGTCAGTTTGCTTTTTCCAGTACCTCAGCAAAACTGAAAGTACTTGTCTTGTTAGGAATGTTGGTATAGACTTGGCTCCAGCAAAACTCAGGATCTGTGTCCAGCACTGTTCCACAAGAGCGCAGCAGGGTCACTGGTTTGTGGGCTTTTCTTCAAGAGGCTTAGCTTCAATGGAAACCAAATACCTTCCTCTTCCAGCCCAGCTTCACTTTGTTTTGTTCCTTTTTTTCTTGCTAAGAAAGGAAATTGCAGAACCCTTATTACATTATTTGGTATCTTAAACTCACTGTTTTGATTTTGTGGGTTTATCTTCCTGCAGCAAAACTGATAAGTAGTGGCTTTGCCAAATAGGAGGTCGCATTATTTGATATATATAGTTTGTTTACATAACATGAGAACTGTAATGATGACTACACTGTGATTACAGTAAAGGAACCGAGAAGCTGAAATGCCTAACTTTAAAATTACAAGTATATTTAAATGTTGTACTTCGGAGTACTTATACTGTAATGCTGTATCAGTGTAGTTAGTTCTCTTTCATGTGAACAGAGTTTGGCAAACATAATGTTCTCTTAGGTCCTAGAAAGATCTACCAGAGCATTGCTTCTTCTCTTATTACAGTATATCTGTAAATGAAAGTTTAAAATGTTCGCTGCTGTAGCAAAACCCATTCTGTTTACAAGCTGTGTACAAATATTTTACTGTTTGAGCCTACTCAGAGCAATTTCTTGGAACTAATGCAAGCTGGAAAGCTGTATTTGTTACCATTAAGAAAAGAAAAAAGGTTAAATTTGGAATATAAAGAAAAAAAGTGCACTGATACTCTTGACTTGAAATAACTTTAAACTACATTTCCACAGTTAGCATTTTAATGGGAAAACTGTTTTTGATATTTTACGGAAGAGTGTTATGGCTGAAGTTTGTAAATCTGGGTAGGTCTAACTTCAAATTGTAACAACCAGGCTAAATCTGCACTGGTATCATTGAGTTCAATTTTTTTATTCCCCTCTCCCCCCCCTCCAAAAACCAAATATTCAGTGAAGTTGATAGTATATCAGATTTTTGTGTTCTTGCATTTCCCTGAAATTCTTTTTGTGGAAGTCATATTGTCTGTGCAGATGTCTGGGTACCGTGATGGCAGGGTAAATGTGAAATTCCTTGGCCAGGGAAACTTTGTTCTGATCTCTTTCAAAAGCCTGGAATTATTCTCTTTTCCAAGAAAAGCCTAAAGATGGGCAGACATGCTGTTCCACAAATGGTTCATGCTTGCAGGCTGGGTCCTGATCGAGCTGATCAAACCATCAGTGAGCAGCATGTCCAGTTTGTTTCCTGTGAACATGCACATGTCTGGATTCTAATGAAGTAAATCACTTTGCAGTTGTCTTTCCATCATCTTGGATAATGCGGCCAATTCCAATAGGAATTTACATAGATAGAAGTACTACTGTACTGGAAATAGTTTAATATCCTTGGGTTATTAGATTTCACTGTTCAGTTCCTCTAATAAATTTCTCACTTCTTGAGTGAAAAGGATGTTTTTGTTGTATCCTTTCAACAAGGATTCAAAGACCTCCTGTACATTGGAAAACAAGAGCAAAAAAAATGCTCTTGGAGTAATTGAGTAAGATGGGCTAATTGTGCTGCCTTACAAAGCCTCCTAAAATAAAGTTTTACATCACTTTTTTGTAGAGAAAGTCTTTGCACTAGAGATATGGGGGGGGGGAACAAGAAAGATGTATAGGATAGCTGTCTGTGAACTCGAGTCTGGTAAACCATTCTCCATCTCATGAGAAGCATTAATTATGTATGAGATATTTTCCTTCTCCTGTATCACAGTCAAGGGAGCCAAGTCTGAGTGTTACCCACAACATAAGAGCAGCCCCACCTGCAATACGTTAACACTGTTCCTCACAATGTGTTTCATGCCTTTGTCGTGTATATCAGTTTGTGTGATATTCTTACCTAGAAAGAGAACTTAGAGGAAAAAAAAATAAAAAAAACATGCTGCTATTTCTAGTTCAATTTATGTGCTGCTTATGTATATATAATACAGATAAAATGTATGCTTTTTCCCCAGCGGAAAAAATTAATGATTATTTTTGCTTCCTTGACTGTAGGCCATGGTGGCTTGTTACCCAGGCAATGGAACGGGGTATGTGCGCCATGTTGATAACCCAAATGGAGATGGAAGATGTGTTACATGTATATATTATCTTAATAAAGACTGGGATGCCAAGGTATGCAACTTCTTTCTATGCATTTTTACGTATACTTGCTAATGTGTCTTTGCTGCAGGGCTTTGTACGCATTCTTTCTTCTGTCTTTGCCTAGATGTATTCCTATGTTGCATTAACTTGGACATCTTTTGCCTTTGATTCTGCAGTTAGTGAGATGTTCTGTAGATGAGGCATTTATTTTCAAAGTGTCAGTGTAGATCAGCACATACCTTTATATTATTGTGGATATGAGGTTTAGAATAGATGAGTATCTATAGCACGGTTTGAGTGGTCTAAGAATTCACTGTTGGTGGCTTAAAACTATAGATGTGGTCACTGACTTAATACGGATTATCCAAGCATTTCAGTGATTTAGGTAGATTTGGCAAATGGATATAGCTATTTGGGTATGATAAAGGCTTTAATTTCAGCTCCATGCATGTGAAATATTTTTAAATGTGGTATTTGGTAATTTGAAAATAATGTCTTGGTATATACTTAATGCATTGATTTTAAACATTTAATTTGTAGGTAAGTGGAGGCATCCTTCGGATATTTCCAGAAGGTAAAGCCCAATTTGCTGACATTGAACCCAAATTTGATAGACTGCTATTCTTCTGGTCTGATCGCCGCAACCCTCATGAAGTACAGCCAGCATTTGCTACAAGGTAGGACTAATGGGCTCAGATACATTGCATGATGCTGCTTCTTGCAAAAGGTGAGGGAATTCCAATGAGAAACAAAAGAAATTATGACTTATGACCTGATTCTAGGTCTCTGGATGTCAAGTTCCGGTTGCACTATGGCAAAAATTTTGTTTTTTCTCTTTTGGATGGTTGATTAGGGTTCTGCTGTGCTGCTGAGTTTGTACCCATGTTTTATCACATATTTTGGAGAGAACACGTTCTTAGCCAGGGTAGGTAGGCCATGGTACTTGAAAAGTCAGAAATTGCTGAGCGTGTACTCAGTAGAGCTGGAGAGGACCACACCTGGCCATAAACAGACCCTGCTGTAGCCTAGGAGTATTGTGTAACTGTGTTGTTACTCAGTAATGGCTTTATATTGTGTTCTTTTCCCATTGTCATTACCACAGTATTGTGCTTTTTAAAGATTGACAGGGTGCTACAGTTTTATACCTGCTTGCACTGGGAAGGTAGCAAATGGTCAAGTTCCCTCTCCCTTCAACTCTACATTTGACTTAGTTTGGGAATAGGGAGAGGGCTGGGGATCAGCAATAACCATTGGTACATGAATCTCTTATTTTTCTTTGTAGTGTTGTAAGGGTTTTTCCCAGTTTGAGTCACAGATGGAACGTGAAACCCCTTTTGTTATTGTTTAGGGAGATGATGCTAAACGTACGTGTATTCACTGCCCGACATCTTGAGTAAACAATGACAGATTGTGTTAATAGATAAATCATTGGAGTTGTTGGTCCAAACTTCCTGTTGCACACATAGCACTGAACATTAACTAGGGCACTGAGATAATGCAAGCATCTCTGCAAGAAATAATTTGAAACTGCAGTCTGCACGTCCTCTTACTCAGAGCCTTTCCCAAGGCTGCAGCACTCTCCCTTCCCCCTTCTGTGCTCTGAACAGAGGGTGAAATGCCATTTACTAAAGCTCCTTAATGTCTTTTCTCAATAGCTGGCATTTCATACTTAAATCTTCAGTGGGCAGTGGAAAACCAGAGGAGCTGTGTAAGAAGGGGGAGTTAATTTTCCCTTATGGCAAGTGTCCAAGAATGATTTCTTGCAGTATGACTCAGCAATGGACTTGACCAAGTAAAGCTGAAGATGAGGTCATGGGGCAGAGTAATTGCCCAGTTTCTGTGCAAGAACTGTAATAACAAATCACTGGGGGAAAAAGTACTTACAGTGTCAGCATCACCCTTTCAATAGCTATTCAGACAGTGCGTACTGCTTGCTTTCTCTTCATTAAAGTTTTCTTCTGCTGAATGCAGAATTATGGTCTCATTGACTTTTTAGTTAAGTGCTTCACTGTAATGTTTTTCCTTACAGTTCAGGAATTCTTTAATTTTTTTTTTTATCCTTTTCCTTAGGTACGCAATAACAGTGTGGTATTTTGATGCAGATGAAAGAGCACGAGCTAAAGTAAAATATCTAACAGGTAAACTCTTGTTAATATCTCCTATTCTTTGGTTGGTTTTTTTTTCTGGAAGAATAGCTGAGCAGTCCAACCTCATGTCCTCAGCCCACCTTCTACACAATAAGGGGGGAAAAAAACAAGGCATAATTCATCTAGTCAGGCTTTACAGGGACGGTGACCCAGTGGCTAAGCTGCTAGCCCATGACTTGGGAAATCCAGGTCAGCTCCTTGTTCTGCACACACTTCCTCTGGGACTTGAGTCTAGTTGGGCTTTTCAAATGGGGGATGCAGCCTCTCCCTGCCCATGTCACTCTGGTAGGAGTGGTGGTTAATAAATGCACCACAGGACTGAGCGCCATGTAAATGCTTCTGATGGGATATGGCGATCTGACTTGACTAGAATCTCTGTGTCGGAGAAACAAAAACCTAAAATTAAAATCTGTAATCAAAGAATGGAGTGACTTCCTCCATTTTCAATTCCACATATCAGGCATCTGTTTTCCTTTTCTGACTTCTCCCTCAAGAGGAAGCTGATCTAATTTTCCTGTTCAAATTAGCGTATAAGGAGAAATGGTTTGGGAATTCTGTCGTGCTTGTAAACTCATCACAATTCTGTGCTTGCTATGGTAAGAACAAAGCACAATCAGGTGCACTGCAGGTGCACAAATGCACAGCATATTTCTCAGTGGTTTCACCAAATGCTCTGAAAAGGCTGATTTTTGGATACGTGGGTCCAGTCACTTTCAAATCAGATTATGTTCACAGCTTTTTGGTGCCTGGAGCATTCCTGTAGTATTGGGACTGCAGTTCCACTGCTTGTGGTGCAACTGTGGCTCAGTGCCTTTTGGGAGCGGTCAGAGTAACACTGCTCCTGCCTGGCTTGCAGGGAAGGACAAGAAACCAAGGGGCAGGGGTCAGGGTGAGCTTGGGGTGGCAGTGGCACTCCCAGGCCATCAGGAATACTGGTGACGCATGCCCAGCCCCGCGGGGCTCTGCGGGAAGTGTGTCGGCACTGGAAGTCAGTCTTCATGTCACACACATGTGACCCTGAGCCTTATAAAGCTGCTGGAGAATAGTCAGAGCCACTTGGTTTGTCTCCATGCAGCTTTGGCTGCTGGAAACAGCTCGGTTGAGCAGGAGCTCTGCCCTCCTCCGTCTGCAGTGTCCCCCCTTCAGCTGCAGGGACCTGGAAGGGAGGAGGAAACTTTAATTTTGCTATTGGTTAGGTCTAGCACAGATTCCTATTACCCAGTTATTCCTACTTATCCCAATCACAGTTTTATTTGCAGTTAAAATTGCAGTGTTTATTCTTTATCTGAACTGAGAATTATACTATATCTGATATTATAGTTATAAAAGAGCATTCAGGTTTTGGCTAAAGCCATGCAAGTATATGTGAATTTCCTATGGATATGGAATATTGTCTGCTAGTGTTTTCATAGGATGTACTTGAAGTTATTCAGGTTAATCGTGAGGACTGAAAAGGTGAATTATTATTATTATTTGCATTGAGTCAAGTGTGATGTTGCATTTAAAAAAAAAAAAAAAATCCTTCAGTGTTTCTTTACAAAGATAAATACCTAGAGACTCTGGACATTCCAATCCAGAGTAGTGGACTGCCTCTTCACATCTGAAAAGGCTGTTCTTATAGGTTTGTAAAGGTCAAGGTAATTAATTTCAAAACTGCACGTGTGACAGGAAGCATCCTGCTTTCAGAGATTACAACTAACCACAGCTTATTGGCTTTCCAGAGCACAGCATCAGAGCAGGTGCACAGAAATATGCATTCGGATGTATCACGTGTACTGGGTCATCCTTGAAGATTCTCTTAAAACTAAGCTAGAAAGTGGTGCAGCCATTCCGTAGACCGTACTTTGATAAATGCTGACAAATAATACTGGATTCCTTTTTGTCTTTCTGCAGGTGAAAAAGGTGTGAGGGTTGAACTTAATAAACCTTCTGACTCGGTTGGGAAAGGCGTTTTATAAGCCTTTGTTTTAGCCACTCCTCTTGCTATTCTCCCTGAGAAACCTTGATGCTATCTATTAACTTTTGAATGTGAATAACAAGGTAAAGGAAAATCGACAACAAACCAACATTTTAATAAAGAAGCATACAGTGTTTCCATGTTGCATCAAATAGAAGATTTTTTTGACTGCTGAAGCATTGTACTATGTGATTGTCACTCCAGGCCTGTGACTGCTTATGTGAAGAAGATAAGCAATCAGTAAGGAACAACATATGCATCTGGACATAAACAAGTGCCCTACATAGAATTTGTTCATCCTTATATTTTGCCAGACCTGTCATCCAGCTGAATCAAATTCATCACTCCTTTTTTTATATGGTAAAAGTTTGAATTTTGGGTAATTTTTGTATGACCAGGTACAGTTTATCAAAATTGAGTCTTAAAAAAAAGAAAAACAGAAAAAAAAAAGAAAAAAAACTACAGTATTCTCCAAAATAACATGAATCTATTTTTGTAAAACTGTTCATACTGTTCTCCTCTGCCATGAAAGACCTAATGTAAGGGTTGCCAGTAACTGATAATCACTTTAATTTTCTTTACACCTTAAGTCAGAGAAGGAGCACTTTAATTACCAGCTAAAAACCTGATTGTTTTATATCATATCTCACACTAATCTTAACTTTTAAAGATTGCTGCTGTATTGTTTTTTGACTATGTCCTCTTGAACCGTATTAACAGAAGCAAATCAATATCTTGCTATTAGTAACATTCAGTTTGTGGTTTTGTATGTTGATTCTACAGAGGGGAAGTTTCAGTCTCTGTTTTTGGTTTTGTTCTGTTTTTATTTTGTTTTGTTTTTAAGTGACTGGCACTAAGTGAACTTGACACTATCGGTTGCTGTCATTGGCTTTGGGGACCTGGTAAATACCATCAAGTTACAAGAACATACAAGGGCTTTCCTAGGCTATTAGAGGTACCCAGAACCTCCTTGTGTACTTTACAGAAATGTTGAGCTTTCTCCCTTTTCTAAAGAATACTTGCCATCCCCCTTTCCTTTGTATATAAGTTAACAGAATATCTAAAATTCACTTTTTAAAAAAATGTCCTTTCCAAATGTTGCTGTCCCATGCAGTCTTTAAGTTGACACCTTGATCTATCATATAGTGTCAAGGAAATGGTCAGCACACTGAAGGTGAAGCACATCACTGTAGGCTCCTTCTGCAATACATCTTTAGATTCTCACTGTGCTGAAGGATTTCCCAAAAAAAAACACTGGCCTCTGATCAACACTGAGACACACGTTTAGTAAAAAAACAAAAAAACAAAAAAACTTTGCTTTCTTTTACATTGTTTTCTTTTTTTTTTTTTTTTTTTTTTGGAAAAGGGAAGATCACAGAATAAAAGTGACATGCAGAAACTTAGGTATTTTAATTTTTAAGAGATAAATGTTTTGGACACTGTTCTATTTTTTTCCTTTTTTTTTTTCCCTCTGAGCTTTAAAAGCTTCAGAAAACAAAAGCAAACCTATAAAAGACTGCATATATATATATATATACACATATATATATAGGAGCTAGGGAGTTGATCAACTTAACCCGCTGCAGTTTTCTATCTGTCCCTCATTTCCTTACTTAGCCAAAACAATGTGAGTGTACAGAAATATTTCTGTATATACTACAACTTGTGACAATTTTAGTATCTGTATAGTTTGTATTCAATTAGAGACCTTTTCTATGGAAAGCTCAGTAATTTTTTATTAAAAAGATTACTATTGTTCATGTAAAACATGAAAAAAAAAAGCTAATTGTTTAGTAACAAACTGACAGAAGGGGGAAAAATTCAGTATTGGTATATCATTTAGGAGAACCAATGGAAATCCCAGTTTTGTTTTTCCTTTTCTTAACACGTTCTTGCCCTTTGCAATTCTCCTCCTCTTTCCTCGTTTCTTCCCAGAAAAAACCAGATAGGATACCTTTACTGTAAGTGCCTCTGCCAACCTGGCCAAGGAGTGCAAATCTTCGTTACTGTCTGGTCTGCAGTGCATTTAGGCTATCGATGAAACAAGCGAAAAAGCCACCTCTTTTACTTCATCTTTAATACTTCTTTAATGGAGGTTCGGTTGGTTTTAATTTAGAAATGTACAGCATAAGCCTTTAAACTCATTTCAGTCCCTCCGTAATTCAAACTTCTGCAGTTATACAGCGTATCAAATTCTAATCACGTAGGTTTGTGCTTGCCAGACAGGTTTAAAAAGTGCTTAATTTTACACTCTGTGTAAGTCATTACAATAGGGTCAACAAATCAGGTCAGCCGTTTCTTCAGTGTCCTTTAGAAACTCTTTATTTCATGTCGGTTGAATATTCAGTCTTGAGCATCACCAAGCAGCTCCTTGTTTCAAAAATATTTTTTAAACTGTCTTACGATCTGTATGTGTCTAGTCCTGGTTAAAGACAAAGCTTCATAATGCTATTTTTATTCATGATGTTAGCCAGCTGTAAAATATGAGACCTTTATCTATAGCAGGCAAAGAAATTCAGGATTCATTTACAGGTTGCCTATAAAGTTGTGTAATTTGAAAAGCAGTGTTCATTATGAAAGAGCTCTCAAGTTGCTTGTAAAGCTAATCTAATTAAAAAAAGATGATGTATAAAGGTTCTTGAAAACAATGTGGTTATTTGTGATCTATGTAACTTTTAGAAACCACTGTAGTAACTAACTTATAAATGCCCCTGATAAAGTAGGGTATGTGGATTTCTGTTTTAACCAGAGCCACTTTTACTCTGGAGAATGATCTGTTTCTCTGAATGGTCTTCATTATGTGGGTGGGGTGATCATTTTTCTCATTACTTTCTCCATCAAAAACAGCCCAAAGTTTAAACTGGTTGGAGTGATGACCTACATAGAGGCATTACTAATTTTTCACCACTTTCTGATATGTGCAAGAAGCATAACGTGAAAGTCTACTTCAGAAAGGATTTATCATAGGAATAATCAAATCAAAGAATGGCTTGCATTAGAAAGAACCTTAAAGATTAGCAAGTTCCAACCTCCCTGCCCTGGGCAGGGCTGCCACCTACTCATTCATGCTGCCTGCCAAAACTCCCAACTGCTTTTCCGTAGGGCTGCTCTAAATGAATTCTCTTCCAGTATGCAAATCTGGGATTGTGTTTACCAAATTGCAACACCTTGCCCTTGTTGAACCTCATTAGGTTTCTGTGAACCCACTTCTCGAGCCTGTCCAGGTTCCATGCAATGGCAACCCTTCTGTTGTGTCAGCTGCATCGCTCAGCTTGATTTCACTCAGCAGACTTGCTGAGGGACACATATCTGTGTCACTGATAAAGACGTTGAGCTGTTGTCTCAAGATGCACACCTGGAGGACACCACTTGTGCTCTGCCTCCACTTGGACATAGAGCTGTTGACAACAGCCCCTCTGGCTAAGATGGTCCAACCAATCATTTATCCACCAAATAGGCCATCATTCAAACCCCTCTCTCTCCAATTTAGAGATAATGATGTGGTGTGGGACCATGTCACATGCCTCACACAAGTGCAGGCACATGACAGCAGTTGCCCTTCCCTTGTCCACTGAGGTCATTGCTCCATCATAGAAGGCCACTGATCTGCCCTTGGTTGAAACTATGCTAATTGTCTTGGTCACTTCCCCATCTTGTGTGTGCCTTAACATTTCCTCTAGAAGGATCTGCTGCTTCCGAGACACAGACGTGAGGTTTACTGGCCTGTAGTTTTCTGTGTTCACCTTTCTTAAAAACGAGAGTGATGTCTCTTTCCAGTCACTGGGGACTTTGTCTAACAGCCATGACTTTCCAAATATGATGGAGAGTGGCTTGGTGACCATATCAGCCATTTCCTTCAGGACCCTGGGATGCATGTCATCAGGCCCTGTAGACTTGTTCATTTTCGGCCTCGTGAGATGGCAAGGTTTACTGGGAACTCTTCCGTTTTACGTGATCCCTAATGAATTTTGAGCCCTTTTGAAATGGTAGAAGAGCAATAGAGTTTACAGAGGCCAGTCCACACAAGATGCCACACAAATTTTCTGTGCTTCCTCATTGGGCCTCAAAATGGCTGTCCAGTAATCAAGGAAGCATCACAGTGACTGTGCTTCTGCCATTGCTCCAGCTTGTGTGAAGCCCCACGCTTGATTGTCTGTCTTGTGCAGGTTCAGTGGGAGTTCCCTGGGCCTCTGGGTGAGTCTGCCAGCCTTAGTGCACCTTCTGTCACACATGGATACCTGCTGGTCTTTCCTCTGCTCTGCAGCGATGGCTTCTGTCAGGGCACTAGGCTCAAGCCTAAGTGCAGCAGCACTAGCTGGTCCTGATATGGACTTATGTTCTCTTGAAATCTTTCCCTGTCTTTCTTTTGTGTTGAATGAGTAATGAGACTTGTATTGCTCACAGCCATCCTGGACAGATGTGATTTTTTATGATCATATTGTTGAGCACTATGTGCGGAGGAATCAGTTTGTGTAGCAAAGTCAAATGCTGCACCAAGGAACGATGAAGTCTTTTTTGGCTGTTGCTCAAAAGAAAGCCACTTGCAAATCTGACAGGAAGTGAGCTGACAACCGAGTGCTGGAGGCAAATATCTTATGCAAAACATCTGGACATGCTGACCGCCTTGAGGTCAGGGGTGGAAGGACCAAATCTCTTAAGTCACACTGATAAGTACAATCGGACTGGGAAGTACCACTTCAGTGCCTGCTGAATGCTTTGAAGGAGAGGGGAGATTGCTAAATGTCAAAGGCAAACTCAAAATCTGAGAAACCAGGAAGCCTAGCATGTGTACTTTGCCTGTAGGCATGCAGATGGCTGCGTGCACTTGCAAATGCGTAGTGGGAGTGAGTACTCAGCGGCCAAGACTTTGAAGAACTTCTTGGGACTCACTTGGGTTTGGCTCTCATCTGCTTTTCTGGGGGTGGGCATGGATCTGCAGAAACTTGGGCCTTTCATATAAAATATTATTTAGCCTTTTTTGGAGAACGTGAATAAAGCTTGAATGCAAATGATTGCTGCAAATGCATCGAAGCCTGTTTGAGGCCTTACATCAGTGCAGAAGGTCTGCTGGCCGTGAGGTATGTGCCCTTCTGAGCTCATGCCTGTGTCTGGTGGGAGGGGAGGGCAGCTGTCAGAAGCAGGTTCAAGGTCCTCCGCCGGACAAAGCCAGTTCTAGAGAATTCACTCTGTTGACTTTTGCTGCCATTTACTCAGTTCCATCATGCTTTTCCCCATAGCTTTGAAGAGGAGTGAATATACTGCACATGTATTGCTTCCTGAACAAAAAAAGCCACAAGCCCAAAACTCCCGTGTGGAATCGGTACTCAGAGTTGGCTCTAAAAATGGAAGGAGCAGATGAGGTGCAGGTCACCAACTCAAGTCCATAGCAGGACAGGGAGGAAGGAAGGGTTGAATTAGAAATGGTAAAGCAGGGCAGGAAGAGACTGAAGTATGAGACCAAAATAAAATGTATGGGATGGGCGTGGGGAACATGGAACATAACCACGCAAAAATGTGATAGGTGTTTCCATGGGAGAGAAACGAGAGAAGAGGATATGCTGCATGTTTGCCTCAGGAAAGGCAATTGCTGATTCATCCCATCTGCCTTTCTCTTCATGGGTGCTGTTGTGAAACAACATACTTTTATGTCTGAAGATAAGAGGTCTGAACATTTTACTTGAGCTGTTTCCTTGTCTGCCTTCCAGATGTGGACTTTGGGGAGCTTTTTCCTCTTATTAAAAAACAGCTTGGGATTACATTTCTGTTGGCAGTAGTTTGTGTGTTCTTCAGGAGAGCTTCTAACCTACTCAGTGTACAACATGGTGATAAATGCTGTGAAGGGTGACCAGCTGGTTTAGCCATGGGCTCAGAACCGCTGTCTTCATGTGGCTGAACAGTAAGTTGCATTGTGAGTCGGTATTTCAATACCTAAAGATAGCAAGGATCATACAAAGGGCTAAACAAAGATCAAAACTAGCACAAGTCATGTGTGTTATAGATACAACTTGCATTAGAATACGTAAGCAAGCTATACAAATAATGAAGTTTTAAAATAAATAAAAATTGCATTGTAGTAGAGGACATGACGAAACATAAGAAAGAAGAAAACAAAAGATGAAACAGCCCCCACCAAAACCACCACGACCTTTACAGGCACAGCCTACACACCACCAGCCCAAACCTACTCAGTGCAGTCTCACCTGCTGATGAGCATGGTACCATGAGTTACTGCAGCAACTCAAAGTGTTTCAGAAGACCTCTTCTTATTTGAGCATTTTTGGACATTGAAGAGAAGCCATTTCTCTGAGGAAAATGCAGTTCAAGACACCGCTAATATTTGGTAAAGGGGCTCAGGGCCGTGTGTACTAATTGGATCTGTTTTCTGAGATGAGAGTCTAGTGGACACCGTTCCTTCCAGCAGAGATGATATGCTGATGGCAAGGTTTCAGCTGCTACATGAGGCATATTTACTTTCCATTCAGTCTTCCTTTCCCCAGCTACAACATAATGATGGGCACGTGTTCTGCACAGTCAAGTTTTAATGAACAAGCCCAAACCAGAGTCAATTAACTCTTTGGACCTAAATTTTTGTTCTATTTAGAACAACTTCAGGTATGAAATACCCAGTGAGGAAATGTATTTTACAGTAAAAATTAGACTTAACACGGGGCCGTGGAAATAGAAAGTGCTGGGCTTTTTTTCCCTGCCCTATCATTTTCATTCATGACTCAGCAAACCTGCCCACATGAACTGTTATCTGCAGCGCATGTAGCAGGAATGTAGAAATACCTCGGAAACCTCGTGCGGAGCTGGGGGAGCAACTCAGCGAGCAGCTGGGTCCCTCTAGCGTTGTCAGTGGCCCAGAGAAGCTTGATCTGCTTCAGCTTACGGTGGCCAAAGGACGTGCTTTTCGGTTGTGCTGTTGGTACTTGATATGATAGTGGAAGCCGTTGTTTAGATAACGTGAGGCAGCTTCACCTTGCTCTGTCAATGTCACCTGCAGCAGAAAATCCATAAGGGATGGAATGGAGGAGCAGAGAAACACAAAAACCAAGGGGCTGGGCACTGTATAACAGCCCAGTGCCAAAGACGCTTGCCCCGCAGCAGAGACCTCCAGACTCCCCCACCCTTCCTGAGGAAGCCAGGCAGCATCTCTCTTGGGACCTGCTCCAGGTTGGACATGGACTGACCACAACTCTATGAGTGGCTCAGTGCCTGCAGTTTCATTTAGAGAGCTCTGCCTGAAAAAGGATTACAAGAAAGTCTGGACTTCGGGAATTTTAGACATCTTTCTCCAAACTCAGGTCTCCTCATTCTTTCTAGGGAATGCTGGTGTCCAAAACATCTTCCAAAAATGCTCCGAATCACAGCATCACTTAACGTTTGGAATGCTTTGGGATGACAGGTATCAGCCTTAAGTTGTGCCACGGGAAGTTCAGGTTGGATATTAGGAAACATTTCTTCTCAGAAAGAGCAGTGAGGCAGTGGCACAGGCTGCCCAGGGAGGTGGTGGGGTCACCATCCCTGGAGGTGTTCAGGAAATGTGTGGCTGTGGCACTGAGGGACATCATTTAGTGGGCATGGTGGGGATGGGCTGATGGATGGACTAGATGATTTTAGTAGTCTTTTCCAACTTTAAAGATTCTATGACTATATTCTATGTGTCTGTTTTGACAAAAATGCACTTCAGGAACCCAGGGCCTGCTCAAACATTAGCAGTAAAATTTCTTGGGTGATGTCCCCTTAACTGTGTGAAATTGCCAGTGAAACGTTGCCAGATAGCTCAAATAGCCCTTTGGGGTTTTACATTGCCTGAAATACCTCTCACCTCCTCCTATCAGGTGCTTTTCCTGCCTTCTAAATCTCTCACAGGTACATTCAAAGTTAATTACGTCTAAGTCATCTGCAGCACCAATAATCCCAGCTGCCCCACAGGGCCTGACAAGGAAGCAGCAATTACAAAATGCCTTCCCAGGCTGGGCAGTGAGAAGCAGTGACCCAGCTGCCTGCTCCTTCACCAGCCTTGGCCGGACAGAGCCTCCCTTTACCTTGTTTTCTGCCGTGGTGCTTGTCTGTCTCCTCCTGAGGCTTCTGATGCATGGCCTGGATGATGGTGTCAGTAAAGAAGGAAACAAAGCAGGAAGGTAACAGTAGTAAGAAACAGTGTCAGGGTATGGAGGACCTGTAGCTGCTCCTCCTATTGGTGACTTGCTGAATTAAGGAAGAAAGACCACCAGCTACACCCTATTTCTGTAGCTAAGATACCACACTGGGATATCTAGTCTTCATTTTACCCCCAGCTTTCTGTGCATCTTCTGACAGACCTCTAAGGAGAAGGCAGGTGCAGTGAGTAAACAAGTGGTGGCCCAAAGGTTGATGTCATTTAAAGAAAGAAGTACTCACTGCTTCCAAACTGGCAATAGGGGAGCCAAATATTCAGCTTGTTGCTTCTTGCTCCTTCATCCATTCAGTGTTACCCAGCTTACAAGGTTAGGGCTCTCAGACTTACCAGGACAAAAAAGCAGCTGAGATGGTGCCAATGATAAGGGATGGTTGGGACAGGGTGAGGTATTCAGGCCAAGCTGCTGCACCTTCTTAGTGACTTAATCTAGTCTTAAACAGCCTGGCCTGGCAGAAGCTAAAAAGGAAATAAGGGATTAAGGCCATGGACTGTTTCTTTTTTTTCTTTTTATTTTTTTAATCTGTCACACTTGCAGTACATTACCCCTTTTCTGAGCTTGTCACACCTCCCAAGCTTAGAAAAAGGAGCAGGAGAAGCATTTTGTGCTTTACAAACCTCTCTGGCTCCTTACAGCACTGCCTTCCTTCCCTTAGCTGGGCTAATGCCAAATTATGACAAAATCAGACTCTTCATTGCAATGGATGCAATAGGCATGGTACATGTACACTATGAAAGGACACCTTTGTTGTTATTCACTGAACCCTGAGCTAGAAAAAGGAGCTCTTGTGTCATCTTCCAAGTCCTGCAGAGATGCCAAACACTCACAGGAAAACCAGTTGAAGATCTTGCTTCTCAGATATCACTTGGTTCCAGGCCTCCCTTCCTCCCTCCTTTCCCTACCCTTCCTCCTTCACCTCGGCAGTGGCTCTGCCCTCAGCCTGGAGCGCTGGTGGAGGCGGGATAAGGCCGTACCAACTCCACTCCTTCCCTTCCCCTGCACAGGTTAAGAAGGGAGAAATAAGCATTCCTTAAGTGTAAGTAGTGCCATCTAACGGCCTACTGGAGAATCCCAAAAGGTCCCTCGCCTGGTGGTTTTGTTTATAACACGTACAAGCACACAACATACAGAAATGCAAGACACTCCCCTGGACAGCCTACCTGTAAATCACATTCTAAGAGTAAATTCAAGTAGAATTTTTGATTTAACATACAAACAACCGTTTTCATAATCCTCGGACTTCAAAGAGACTATAATAGTTCAGATGTAAGTCACAATCTGGGGAATTTAGAGTGAAAAATTAATGAGTGGTGGCTAGTGTTTGAAAAACAGCTGATGGAAAACAGCTGTCTAACTTCTGCAATGACTGTGTCAGGCAGCTATAACTGTACACTTGCAGAGGAATTCAGGTCAGAAGTGACCTTGCAGTGGCCACTCAATACAGGTTGGCCAAATGGGTCAGCAGATATGCAGACACCTTGCTGAGGGATGACTGCCTCCAGAAGACAGGACGCACACAGCTGTGGTGACAGTTTCCTAATACTCTGCAGCAAAGATGTGCTGCATCACTTCACGGTTACCACGAACTGCTCTAGTTGTTTAGGGGAAATGTCTATCATCCTTTTTCTCAGAAACATACCCTTCATCCCTTCTTCCTGCTACCCTTCAATACGATGGTATCCTGGGGTGCTTTACAAAGAGCATGACCAGCAGGTTGAGGGAGGTGATCCTCCCACTCTGCTCTGGTGAGTCCACAGTTATCTGGAGCCCTGCGTCCAGTTCTGGGCTCCCCAGTTCACGAAAGACAGGGGACTACTAGAGAACAGCCAGCAGAGCAGCACAAAGGTGATGCCTGGAGCATCTCCCTTATGAGGAAAGGCTGAGAGACCTGGGACTGATCAGCCTAGGGAAGAGAAAAATCAAGGGGAGGGATCCAAAGAAATATGAGTAAAACTATTAAACATACAGTAGAGATGGCAGAGGTCAACACAACACATATTTGGCAGTATGTGTTTTTAGAGGGAAATGTAAGATGGAAAAGTGTTGATATAGAAAGGGTATTTTAAACTGGACTGCCATTGGAAACATAAACATGAGCACTGATGTAAGATGGCCACGACTGCCATGTGAAAGCCAGGCTTAATGAAAATGCAGAATTCAGAACCAATTTATTTAGAACATTTAAGAACAATCTGATCCACTTTAAACATCCTTAGTGTCAACATTTTAAAATACACCAGTATTTTAAACGAGCAAATGTGTCATTTACCAACTTCTACTCCACATCAGTTTATTTCCTAGTCTTAGAAAAGAACTATAAATAATTTAAAGGCAAAAATACATGCATCTACAGCTAATATAGCCATTTAAAGTTGTTGTAGTAGTGTCATATGAGAAAGCATACTTCTTCTTTTAGCAAAAATATTTATAACCAGTTTTATACCTAAGTAATCAAGCCATTAATTGTTTAATCAGTTAAATACTTTCAGTGGAGTAAGAGGAAGCTTTTAGGACATGGCCAATAAGAGTTTTTAGCAGCACTGCTACCAACACTGCTCATAACTTTTACTTATCAACATAATGCGGAGTAGTTACTCACACACTTAACAACTGCATCATTAAAAATAGTGAACTCTCACTGAGTTTGTGCAAAACATCAAAGAAAAGTGGCTGGAAGACCTGGCTGGGACCCCTGGCCAAAAGGCACATAGAGTATTGAGAATCATTAGCCTGCATTTGCTCACCCTTTTAACAGCATGGCTAACTTTCAAATCCTTTTGAAAACAAAGCTTACTTCAATTCTTTTTAAATTGAGCACTTAATCTTAGAGCCCTCTCATCTTCCAAACATGCTTTGATTTCTTAGCATCTTTACTGAACTTCTGGAGTTTCTCTTTTCCTGTTCCACAATCCCATGTTAAGCTTAAAATGGATTGTTTGCTATGTTTGTGGTACCTATGCTTCTCCCACCTTCAATGGAAGCCCTTGAGATTCTTATTCGTGTTCTCAAAGTTACAGGAGATAAGGACCATCTGAATGTGTAATGATGGCTTAAACAAAATACTTGCTGTTCTAAAGATACCTACTGTTTAACTCCAGTGCAATAAGGAGAGTAATTCTTTTCTCTTATGGGTGGTTAACTTTAAGAACAGCCAAAAATACATTAAAACCAACACATTATAGTCCAAGGAACAAAGATAAATTAGCAGGATTTTAAACATCTCAATTTTAAAAACTGCCTTATAAGCATGCAGCTTTATTATTCTTTTCCCTTCAAGACAGCACTCCAGAAGGAAGATTCCTGTGATCAAACAAGGCAAGAATCGAGGTGCTCATTTATTTTAGACTCCAAAACCTCAGTCTGGCATACAGGACAACTGACATTTTCTTCCTGCCTTTCAGCAGTGCTGGATCTTGGAGAGCACACTGCAGATTCAGCTTCAGTTTTCAGAGATGTATTTATACTTAAAGCTGCACCGGTATTCTTTTTTATGAAATAGTTTTCAAAGGTAATTTTGTCCTCCTTTCTTGGCCACTGCTGCACTGTATTTTCCAAACTTTTCTTCTCAGATAGAGTCTGAGCTGTTGCAGTCTGCTGAAAACAAGCTTGTTTTGGTGACCCGTGATAGCATGGTGGCAAAACCCTCTTGCCTTTTGCAGAACCTTGGTTTGAGTTTTCTTCCACAACATGAGCAACTTTAACAGGTGATCCATTAACATTCTTGTACGCTTTTGTATTAGCAACAGAGAGTTTAGGGAACTCCCGCTTTGAAGCTAAGTTCATTTTCTCACTCGCATCATCAGTAAAGAGAGGAAAGAAGGTATTGTGACGGGGTGATTTTTCAAATTTTATCTCGTTTTTAGGAATTGGTATTGTGCTTCCTGCTGAACGATGCTGTGAATCAAATCTTTCACTATTTTTAACATTGCTGCTGAACGTTAAGCTTTTTTCTGAGAGTCCACTGTCTGCTCCTCCAAATCGATACCCATTCCCACTAAAAGGCTTTGGATCTATCTTATCTTTCTTATCACCCACACGCACCTGGCCTGCAAAGAAGAAAACACAAGAACTAGCAACTTTTTTTTTTATACTAAAAGCATGGGCTTATTTGAAAAAAATCTGCAGCTTGAAAACAATGCAGCAAAGTAAAATTTGAGAACAATTAAGTTGAAAAGCCTAGAAATGAACAAGATGGGCCCTGTTCTTTTCTACGTAATAGTAATGTCTAATATAAATCTCACGTAATGATATTTGTTCAAGGGACTGTTTGGATAAGAACAGTTGGGAAAAATGAAGAAATAATTTTAAATACCTTTCTTACTTGACTTGCAATTCCGAAGTTTTTCTGTGTCGGTTTTCTCCTTGGGTTTTTTAGAGAAGTTCTCAGGTTCTTTCACTTTTGTGAATGTACCTCCACAATTCTCTTGATGCTCAGCCCACCAAAAGTCTCGTGCAGAGGGTGCTCTATTCATTGAACGTTTCACATACCCAAAATAAGGTCTTCTATACTGACAGGGGCCATTGCATCGCCACCAGTGCTGGCGGTACGAATCTACTTCATCATGAAAATTATGATAGATCTAGGTTTTAACAAAAAATATAACAAGCTCCAGTCACTCAGAAGAATTCTTATTTTACTCATTGCTAATTCTACAAACTTCTCATACACACTCATACACCATCACCACCACATTTTTTCATAACACAGGTCAAAAGTGAAGTCCTTCTTCAAGTGCTTTCTTTGCAAAATAAACATAGTTTATTCTCCTACGGAATCTGGCACGTGCTCTGTGTTTTGAACCACCCTTCCAAGTTTACTGCACCTCTTTGATAAAACTTTATTCTACAATGTAGACAATGTGACAAACAAGTTCTCCCTGCTCCCCACATCCTGTTTTACATTTTAATCCCAAAGATACCTTACTGTCATCATTTCTACACCATCAGTTAAAATAGTTGAATCTGGGCAAAATTTGATGAACATTTAGTTGCAATTAAAACATAGCTTTAAAAAAAGACATGACACACAGAAAGATATCCTGGCTGCCTTACATCAGCTGCAATAAAACTATTTCAAATGTACACAATACTAGCATTATATTCTCCCTCTGGCTATTATCTTAATCTTATCACATACACAAATCTTAAAATATCATGAACTCATCAGGCTGTACCGGTCTCAACTAGAATAAGCTGCTATTCCCCAAATATTATTGTTAGCATGGAATTATTCTCACCCCGAATTCACAAATTGTTGCAAATTTTAAACCAGCGTTAAATAAAAATTCTTACAGAGGGTACACGTGACAGTTATAACACATGTTCTTCAACTTATTCCCTCCAATGCTCCCCTCCCCTCCCAACAAAATAACTACAGAATTGTCAGAGGTGGCTGCAAATTTGCGTTGGTGCCAACTACAGAATGCTTGAGAAAAAAAAAACAACCACCAAGTGCAGTACTTGTACCACGCCCAGAGTATTGAAAAACTATGGTAACAAATTATGACTATCCATATTACATTAAGTGGACTATGCTTACTGTGACATTGGCTCCAGTCAAACGATTAATGCGACGCATGTGTTTGCAGAACTCTGGCCCGTGAGAGTCACGATCTCTGTCGTTGTTAGTAACAAAAAGCAGGGCATGGATCATTTCATGCAACAGTGTCTAAAACAACGAAAATCATTGGTTATTAACTGCTAAGACGAGCATTACAATTAATTTAAAAACTCAGCTGACACTATTTTAATCTTTTTCATTCATCTGATCTAATTTTCATCCATTCACATGTTGCGCTTGAGTCATAAAAACACAATAGTTATTCTACCTGTGAAGTCATTAACTCTACTTCTATATAATACTGAGTGACATTCCACAACGGCTATTCTACGTGTGGTCATTAACTCTACTCCCGTGCAATACTGAGTGACGCTGCAAAAAGAAGAAACAATCCTGAAGCCTGTCAGACCTTTAAGAGGTCACCCCCTCCACAACCAGAGAGCTATATGTAAGAAGGCTGAAATTCAGCATCTCTGTTTATTAAGCAAACCTGAGCATCCCCACTATTTCACAACCTCTGAGTCACCGTACATACAAACTCTACTATGAAACATTAGATGTGGGAGGTGAGGTGCCATCTATTTCACATCCGGATATACCAGCAGTGTTCAGGTACCTCAACCAGATCCTTCCTCGGCCTTAACTTCAGGAGTGGCTCGCTCAGACGAATAGAACACATCCCGCCGTTCCCTTCGTATTTACAAACTCCGGCACAGCTGAAAGAGACCAGAGAACAAAACACTGACAGCGACGCGCTTTTGCAATATGCGAAGCCAGCTGAGAATTGACAGCTCAATACCCTCTCTGGTGCCCGAGGTGTCCCACCAGGGGCTCCCAGCCCCGCCTCTCCCCTCTTCCCCCCCTCCCTCCGCCCCCCCCCCCGGCCGTACAGGGTCATGCGCGGGCTCCAGGACACCTCCACGGCCGCCAGCCGCCCCCAGAAGAGCGCCTCGTTGAACTGCACGAAGAGGCCGCGCACGTCGGGGCTGGGGTCCAGCAGCTCCCAGGCTTCATCCACCACCGACAGCGGGCTGAGGGACGCGGGGCCCGGCAGGGCCTCTACACGCGCCGCCGCCGCCGCCTCCCCCTCCGCCTCCCACAGCTCCTGGAGCTGCAGCGCCAGCGCGAAGTCATCATCCTCCTCCTCCTGCAGCTCCCGCTCCATGCAAACCGCCGTCGGCCCCCGAACCACCGTGACTACACGCTCTGCGCCACGCACTAAAACGGCCACCTCTGTTCAATTGCGCATGCGCACGCCTCACCGGACGCTCTCGTACGAACTGCGCCTCCTCCGGCGCATGCGTCACACGCCGCGCTTCTCCCCGATCGCCGCTTCTCTTAAGCTGCTCTCCGGCGGAGCGGCCGCGCATGCGCACGGGAGGCGGCAAAGCCGTCTCGAGGCGTCCGGGGCGCCGTGCGCAAGCGCAGTCGAGGTTTCCCTAGCGGCGGCGGGCGGCGACCATGGCGCTGGCTCTCGGGGAGGGAGGCGGCGGGAGCCGGCTGCGGCGGCAATTGGAGTCGGGGGGCTTCGCGGCGGCGGAGTACGTGAAGCAGCTGTCGCAGCAGTCGGACGGCGACCGGGATCTGCAGGAGCACCGGCAGCGCATCCAGGCGCTCCAAGAGGAGACGGCGCAGAGCCTGAAGCGCAACGTCTACCAGAACTACCGGCAGTTCATCGAGACGGCGCGGGAGATCAGCTACCTGGAGAGCGAGATGTACCAGCTCAGCCACATCCTCACCGAGCAGAAGGGCATCATGGAGGCCGTCACGCAGGCCCTGCTCCTGCAAGCCGACCGCGACGACCCCGCCCTGGGCGCCCGCCGCGCCGCCGCCGCCGACCCCTTCCTGCCGCTGTCGGCTAAGGAGGCTGCGGCCAGCGAGGAGGGCCGGCAGCGGACGCTTACCACCCTGCTGGAGAAGGTGGAGGGCTGCCGCGACCTGCTGCCCGAGAGCCCCGGCAAGTACCTGGTGTACAACGGCGACCTGCTGGAGTACGACGCCGACCACATGGCGCAGATCCAGCGGGTGCACGCCTTCCTGATGAACGACTGCCTGCTGGTGGCCACCGCCCTGCCCAACCGCCGCGGCGCCTACCGCTACGACGCCCTGTACCCCCTGGAAGGGTTGGCCGTGATCAACGTCAAGGACAACCCGCCCATGAAGGACATGTTCAAGCTGCTCATGTTCCCCGAGAGCCGCATCTTCCAGGCCGAGAACGCCAAGATCAAGAAGGAGTGGCTGGAGGTGCTGGAGGAGACCAAGCGCAACCGGGCCCTCAGTGAGAAGCGACGTCTGGAGGAGGAGGCCCTGCCCCGGCCCGCCCCGACACCTCCTGAGTCCACCAACCCCTTCGAGGAGGAGGAGGAGGAGGAGGAGGAAGAAGAGCCCTCCGCTGAGGAGGAGACTGTCGACCTCTCGCTTGAGTGGATCCAGGAGCTGCCGGAGGACCTGGACGTCTGCATCGCCCAGCGGGACTTTGAAGGGGCTGTGGACCTGCTTGATAAACTCAACGAGTACTTGGGAGACAAGCCTGCGAGCCAGCCCGTGAAGGAGCTGCGGGCCAAGGTGGATGAGAGGGTCAGGCAGCTTACGGACGTGCTGGTCTTCGAGCTGTCTCCAGACCGCTCGCTGCGAGGAGGGCCGCGAGCCACGCGCCGAGCCGTGTCCCAGCTCATTCGCTTGGGCCAGTCCACCAAGGCGTGTGAGCTCTTCCTGAAGAACCGGGCGGCCGCGGTGCACACAGCCATCCGACAGCTGCGCATCGAAGGTGCCACGCTGCTCTACATCCACAAACTCTGCCACGTCTTTTTCACCAGCCTTCTAGAGACGGCCAGAGAGTTTGAGACGGACTTCGCTGGCAACAACGGCTGCTATTCTGCCTTCGTTGTGTGGGCCCGCTCTTCCATGAGGATGTTTGTAGATGCCTTTAGCAAGCAAGTGTTTGACAGTAAAGAGAGCTTGTCAACTGCAGCAGAGTGCGTGAAGGTAAGAGTGCCCAAAGAGGGAGGTGTGCCATGGTGGCCTGAACAAAGCTTGCAGGTCTTCATTTCTTATCTTAGCATAATTGTTGACTGGGTGCAACTCTGGAAGAGTTTCCTTCATTAAACCGCTCATATTCATTTGGAGTTGGTTTATTTTTTTAAATTTAACAGACACAACATTAAGATGAAAATACACAGCGAGAAAAACCCTGCCCTTACCAGAAATATGTTCTTCCTTAATTTGCTTTTACCTGGAAATCCTAAAATTTGTATAATCTCATCTGAACATTGAGTATTTTGAAGACTTATTATTTGCTTTCCAAACCTGTACTAGACTATGCTCCCTTAATTTTTTATGTAACCATTTTTTCTCAAGTTATGGGGGGAGAAAAAGATTATAATGTAATTGTCCAGTGTTTTTGACAACGATGGCTTGTCCTTTGATTTTTGATTTCTCAGTAATAAGGAGTTTCTCAAGGCAGAAGTAAGTGAACCATGACTAACGCATCCCTGTTTTCTGAGAATACATGCCTCCTTTATATTTTCTATGTTTACCCAATTTATCAAATAACACTTTGTTTTTCCTTAACACCCAAGGTAGCTAAAGAGCACTGCAAGCAGCTCAGCGACATTGGACTGGATCTCACCTTCATCATTCATGCCCTTCTGGTAAAGGATATCAAAGGTGCTTTGCAGAGCTACAAGGATATCATCATCGAGGCCACCAAGCACCGCAACTCTGAGGAGATGTGGAGGAGGATGAACCTCATGACTCCGGAGGCTCTGGGGAAACTCAGGGAGGAGATGAAGAGCTGCGGCGTAGGCAATTTTGACCAATATACTGGTGATGACTGCTGGGTCAACCTTAGCTATACTGTAGTAGCTTTCACGAAGCAGACTATGGCCTTCTTGGAGGAAGCATTAAAGCTTTACTTTCCAGAGCTGCATATGGTTCTTTTGGAGAGCCTTGTGGAAATCATCCTAGTGGCTGTCCAGCATGTTGATTACAGTTTACGGTGTGAACAGGACCCTGAGAAGAAAGCATTCATTAGGCAGAATGCATCCTTCCTTTATGAAACTGTCCTTCCTGTTGTGGAAAAAAGATTTGAGGAGGGAGTTGGAAAGCCAGCCAAGCAGTTACAGGATCTGAGAAATGCTTCAAGATTGATGCGTATAAATCCAGAAAGTACCACCTCTGTGGTGTGAAGTGAACGAACAGTTCCTGCAAACAGAGTGTGAAAGCGGTTAGTGAAAACGCTGTACATTGCATATATGAACTAAATGGTTTTTTTGAGCTCCTGAAAAATGAGGAAGTCAGGTTGCAAGACTGCAGAGACTGAAGTTACAGTCAATGGCTTCAAGGGTCCAACACTTCTTCTGAGGGGGTGCAGGAAAGTGAGAGGTAGCTGTTGAAATCATGTGTCCTTGTACAGCACATCCTGTAAGAATGGTTAATGTAGTTTTTGTGACTTGGAAAGTACTATGATGTACAATTTTTGGCCAAATGTCTGTGAAAATCTTAAATATATGTACATTGTTCAGCAGGAAAAGATCACTTCTTGTCACATCATTGTGTGTGTTCTTTTTTTAAGGCAGTGCTCTGGTAGAAGGGAAGTGCTGAAACGCTCCCAGGGTGTGGTGTTTGGTGAGGCACATCCACCATTAGATGTGACTAAGCAGTAGAGATAAACAGCATGGGTTTTCAAATCCGGCTTTGTTTATAGCAGTGCAGACTCCTCAGTTTCTCTTACATATGTAATCTCTTAATTCATTTCTGGAACAGATCTAAATTAAAAATCTTGCATTGATTTTTGTGTTTGAGTGTAGGGGCTATTTCTCTTTAATAAGCTTGCCTGTCAAATTACAGTTCTGAAAGCAGAGCTCCTTATTGTCAGAAACACTTTTTCCTTTCAGAGAAGAAACAAGGATACCTTTCTTCCCTTCCCCTTCGTATTCCCCTTGTTTTCTCATGGATTTCACTGGAGTCAAGTCCATCTGATGTAGTGTGCACTCTAGCAAGAGGTTCTGTCTGAAGTGCATTATGGGCCATTACCTGCAGGTTAGAGACCACAGCAAAGAGGCATAAATGCTCTCAAAATGTTCAAGTCAGGGAGAGGGTCTTAATGAAGATACTGTTTCATTTGGGAGAAACAGAATTCTAGTTTTGCCTTACAGAATCAGCAGAGGATAAAGACACTGGCCATAAGGGTTTTTGTGAACTATGTGATCTACAAAATGCATACTCTAACTCTCCTGAATATATTATCCTTGTTTCCTGTAATATAGCAATAACCAACCCAGAAGAACAATCCTTCTTACAGAACACACAAGGACTGCATTTGATTGAGAACTTGAATGTAGATGGTATTCATGACATGAAAATGCTTTTTGGTTTGGATTGATGATGCCTATCTTGTTCTGTATTTGTGAAACTGAAATAGGCTTATGCAAAGGCTATCTTTATCAGGGCTATCAGCATTGCCTTCTAAGCTGCATAAACTTCTTCCCCTTCATTTTGCAGGCCTTCTTAATTGAGCTAAAATTGTTACAGCTGCATAATCTTATACTGGACACTTAATAAGATCTTAACAAGATCATAACTGGAATAATTGAGTATCCTATTCCTCTTGTGTTTTCAAATGAAAGCTTTCACGATTTATATCATGGTAATGATTGCCTCATGACTGCATGAAGAGACAGAAGAAATCACTAGTATAATATCCTGTGTAACTGCTTATACTGCAGTTTGTCATTTCTCCATGTTTTCACACTTCCAGTTCCATGCAGTTTTTGCTTTAGAGGCTAGTTTTCATTCTCTTGTTCTTAAAGTGCTTTTTGAGCAGTCAGATTTAGCCAAGCATCTGCTTACTTGCTGTCCAAGTCCAAAATGACCGATTTGGTCATTTTGCTAGAAAATTTTTTAAAAAGTACAAAATTTGTTTTAAAAGGGGAACTCATTAGTCTGAGCTAAAATGGTTTGAAAACCACTGAAATAGCTGTAGTTGCCAAACAGGCATTTTTTTTCCACCAGTGGACTCTCAGATACCAGACCCTAGTGAATTATATTGAAGTAATGTATTTTCAATCAACTGTTTAAAGTAAGCAAGGGTAGTAATCTGGCATTGCTTAATTTTTTAGTGAACTGTAAGTGAGAACTCACCATTATGATGGGTAGTTTGAAAGACAGGGAGAAAGGAGGGTTTTTCTCTGAAGACAGGTATTTCAGTGTTTTATATGAAGCAGAAGAAAGTATCTTTACTTGTGAGCAAAGAATAAATATCTGAGCTTTATGTCACTTCCTTTTTTTGCTGTGCAAGAGGAGGGTAGCTGTGGAACTATAGCT